ACAGGAATCCGTTGAACCCCTTGCGAAGAGGGGGCGCCAGGCAGAAATTCCCCGCAAGCTTCTCAGAAGCATGCGATATCGAATGGGCCGGCACACCCTAACAGCAGCAACCAGGAATCAATTTGAGGGTAGCATCCGCGCGGCGGCGGGCGCAGAAAACCGGACGCAGCGCGACTGCGAAGCAGAAGAGCAAAGCGCCCCGCGATCGCGAAGCAGAAGGAAGCGCCCCACGACTACGAGGTAGAATAACGAATCAAGTAGAAAACGAGGCAGGAAGGAGAAGCCAGCCCGAGGGTGGCACGGGAAGGGGAAGCAAACCTCGAACTTCTATTCAGCACGCGCAATGACGAAGCGCACTGGAAGCCCACTCGGTTGAATCAGCGCCAAGACAAGGGGGCTGAGCCTGACGTGAAGGCCCGCGCGCGATCAAGGTTGCAACGACGCAAGGAGCTATGGAGGCCACTCCAGAAGAGGGTCTCTCTGGATAACATCCTAGGCTCGGATGGGTTGCCGCGTGCATCTTCCGAGGAGGCTGGCGAGGCTCTGGCCGTTCATTGGGGCTCGGTTTTTGGGGGGGGCATGAGTGTGATATGGATCTTTTGGCAGATCAGGTAAATCATATCGTTCCTGTTCCTGAGCTGTCTGGTGATCAGTGGCATCTGGATTTGGGCTCTTCTGAGGAACTCGTTCGCGGGCGTAAAGGCTCTATGCCTGGGCCAGACGGCATTGTGCATCCGCGTTGGAAGCCCCCCAATTCCCATTGCAGTGTCGCACGATCTCCAGTGCCATCTCATGGGCCATCGTGGCGCGGATCCCCCGGCGAGCGCGCGCGAAATGTTATTGGCATGTCTTGCGCAAGGGGGCTGTCCATCTGATCTCACCTCGTCTCCGTCTCGCTCTCCCGGTGCGTGCCGACCGCTAGCGATGGCAGACGCTGACTGCGAGATGATGCCCCTGGCGTTCTCTTGGAGATTGGAACGCGTGGCCCGCGAGACCGCGTCTAAATCACAGGCGCGCCTCAAGGGGCGCCCGATGACTGATCAAATTCTGGGCGCTGAAGTCTGGGGGCTTCAGCAGCTTACGCTGGGAAGGGATCTGGTGTGCATGTTCCTCGCGGACCTCGCTGCTGCTTGTCTGAGCGTCGTTGTTTCCTGGCCCCTTCGGTTCCTGGCCCTGATGCAAGTCCACGCTGGGGTCGTTGGTTCCTTCGAGGCGCTGTGCTCTGAGAATTTGGGGCGCGTCTGCTTCGGCGGGGAGCGGCGCAGAAGCATTCGGCTTGCCCGCGGGGTTCGCCGCGGGGGCCCATCCAGCACGCCACTCTTCGCGTTGGCTCTTGATCCTTGCATTCGTTGGGCCAGCTCACGTCTTCCAAGACTGATCCTCGCGTGCGCTGGTGGTCCGTGGCTTTGCACCGCGTGATGTCATCCTCGAGCTTCCTCTTCTGCGACCGCGGCTGCAGACTTTAGATGGCGCGGCGGTTGGTCGCACTGTGGATCTTAAGAAATGTGTGCTTGCGCATTGTGGGATGCACCTTGCACCGCGTGACTCGGCACGTACGGCGCACCTTCGAGTCTCGGGGGCCTGGAGCATCGTTGATTCAGCGTGTGCGACACGCACGATATTGGGGATCCAAATTGGGCCTGAAGGGCACGCGCAAGCGTGGCACGTAGCACATCAGATGCACCGCCAGCGCTGCATTGAGATGCGTCGTCTTCGGCTCGGGCTTGCCATGACGATTCGCGCGTATGTCATATTCGCTGCCTCGCTGCTTCGTTGCGTGATGCAGTTATGCCCGCTCTCTCGTGCTGCTCGAAAATGCGAACAGAATATGTGCCAAAAGCTCATTGCTGGTCCGCGCTTCTCGTTCCATCGCGCGATGTGTACACGTCTTCGAGACCTGAGGCTCAGTCTAGAATTCCCTGATCTGGAGTTAGCGAGTACTGCGACAAAGGTTCGGCTTGCACACCACTCTTTTGCTTTCTCCAAAATGCGGCTATTGCTTGGGGACCTAGTTATGCAAGATGACTACCATCCAGGGCGCATTAGATACCCGTGGTGGCAACACTCGTTTGCTCGAACGCTGATCTCGACCTGGTCTGCTCACATCTCTCTACGCTCGGCATTTCTGCAGGCTAAGGGGTTTCAAAGACAGCGATTCAATAGTCTGCGCGCCCGCCCCGCCCCCATCTCACCCAACCGATGCCTGAAGATGCGGGTTGCTCGGTGGCTCCCAGGGGTGTCGGCGTCTCAGACTTCAGGTGTCATCCAGGCTATCCGCAAGGTTGCCAAATATAGTTCTCTGCATCTGGGTCTTGCCGTTCTGCGGGTGCTGTCTCGAGGTGTCTGCACTAGTGCTAGCTTTCACCGTGGCCCTGAACGATGCGGCTGGAACTGTGGAAGCTCTGGCGCATCAGAGTCTATGGAGCATTATGCAGTGTGTCCTGAATTTCTTCGACTGAGTCTGGCCCTCGCCCCTTGTCTCCTACCGTTGTTTAGCGAAGGGTCCCGGCTCCATTGTTAAACCCTTTATTGCCCCCCCCGTTCCCGAGTCAGAAACTGCTGTGCGTCTCACTCCTTGACGGCTTCTTGTTTGTTCAAGCTAGTGTTCGAGAGGGCCCCCGTCTCCCGGCTGAAGACCTTTTAAAAGCCCGAAGTCGTCTTCATTGTCGGAGGCGCCCTAAAGTTCTGGAAGCCTGGGCGCGTGGCTAAGGTATTGTTCATTGGAGATGATGGAGGGTCCGTCTACTTGTCGTTGCGTGCCAGCCTCTCTGCCTCTCTCTGCACTGTTTGCTGCCGCGCGTTGCTTGGCGTCGAGTGTGGGATGGTGGTCCTCGACCCGAGGTTCCCCGAAAGCCTCCCTCTGCTCGGCCCGCTCTCTGGAGTTGAACTGAGAATGAGTTCGAGTCAGTCTTTCTTCTGCGGACGGCATGGGGCTGTGCGCATCCTGTGCAAGCCAGGGCGTGCACTGCCATGCTCTCCGCTGGCCTTTTCTGTCGTACCTGCCCGCCGCAGGTTTCCGATGAAGCACAGCAAGGCACCTGCTCTCTCTCAACGTGCACCGAATGCGTCCCTTGGCCGGGGGGCCTAGAGTCACCCTGGCTGACGGCCACTGGCTTAGTTGCTGATCTAGTGTCACCTCCTCCCCTCCCTCGTTTTTCTGGTCTCTCTCCCTCTCTCTCTCTCTCTCTCTGTTACGGAGCTCGCACGCAGGATTTTTTAATACGGGCCCAGACTGCGCCAAAGACCTATGGACTTCATTGGTTTGTTAATTCCCGCCATCATCGGTCCCGTGGGGAAAATCATCATCATCATCATCATCATCAGCAGCACCATCATCATCAGCATCATCATCACCATGATCATCATCATTTTCAGCATCATCATCATCATCATCATCATCATCATCATCGTAATCCGCCTGCTCTGGCTTGGAGACGCCTCGGGCTGAGGGCACGCGGCCGGCTGGCTGACGGGCGCCTCGCGGCGGACAGCACGGCTCGCGAACGAACGATCTCGCGCCCGCTGGCGCGCTGCCTGGTTCACCCCGCGAACCAAAGTCGGTGGCCTGCTGCAGGCGCGCCTGTGGGCGCTCGGCGAGCTGGGCGCCGGCGTCGACGAGGAGCGGCAGTCACGCCGCAGTGGCGGGGCCCAGCCCTGGGCGCGGTCCGACCGCCCGGGGCGACGGTGCCAGCCTCGGCGTCGCCGCGCGGAACGTGACGTGGCTCTGCTCCGCGGCTCTTGGCGAGCTTGGCACGGCCCTCGCCGTGAAATTGGTGGCAGCTTGCACGGGGGGGGAGGAGGAAACAGGCTGTGATGCCTGGACAGTGTCGTCGGCGGCCGCGCAGGCGTGGGGGCCCGATGCCTGGAGGGACCACTGAGATGACCAGCGTTCGTGGGAGATGGTGTGCCCGATGGTGTCCCTAAGGCTCCCGTGGAACAGCGTGTGGACCCTGGGAATGTCCAACAACGCAGCCTGGTTGGGGCGCGGTGGCCGTACTGGCCGATGCGCAGGCTAGTTTCGGGTGGTGGACCAGGAAGCTGTTGCACGAGTGGTACGTGTACGACTCCTTGAAGTGAGGTGCGTCGACAGCACGGGCTGGTCGCACGGCGTGCTCAGAACTGCACTGGTCAGGATGTTGCTGCCGTTGCCCAGGCGGCCCCGATCCAGGGGCCCTCCGGGACGATCGCTGGGCCAGGGCAGCCGCTACGCTTGCAGCCGCACCGTGCGCTGCCGCCACGGTGCCGAGGGCAGCGAATCGGAGCCCGCTTGCAGTTTCTGAAGCCACTCGGGCCGCGACCGGGGAAGAGGCTGGAAGAGAGTGGAAGAACGGAGAGGGGGGTGTTGAGGGAGGCAGCCAGGAGGTCTCCCAGTAGTTGCTCCATCGCTCTACCACCACCACGATTCCCCCTCGTGCTCTTCCAACTCATCGGCCCAGAGCCGTCCATCTTTCGACTCGACCGACGTCTATCGCAGTCGCGTGTTTCGCCATCAATTGGGTCAACCAATTCGGTTCACTGTGT